AAAATGACCTTTTAAAGTGGGGCTGACATGATGTGTAAGTTCTGTGCTGGCCCTCTGCACTGCAGCAAATTGCATGTTGAGGAGGGAAGGCTTGTCTTTCGCCTATGAATAATGGCCCACGCCTGCCCCGTCACCCACAGCCACTCCTAACACACATTTGTTTATGTGCACTTTGGGCTCCAAGGCTCTGCATCACAGAATAGCACCAGAGCAACACACTGTTTTAAAGTAAAATGTGTGGTAAAATCCTCCCCCAAAAGACAGGTGACTCCTACCTATTGCCTGGGATCAGGGCAGTCTTTTTTGAGCTGAAAAATCACAGAAAGGGGATTTTCTACATCTACAGGATGCACCTGAGCATCTATCTGTTCAAGCTCTATGAAAAAAAAAAAAAGACAACAAACCAAACACAGGAAAGAAAGCCTGGGAAAAGGGGAAGGAACATTTGATTTGAGTGTCTCAGCTCTCAGCCTCTTCAAGCCAACACCCTTCCCTTTGCAAGAGGGTGGTTAAAGGGCTGGAAGATCATGAGAACCCACCAAATCTATCTAGTGGGCTTGTCATTACTTCTGAAATAGATTTGTATCTGCTCTTACTTAGAAACAAACCAAATTAACTCCTCTGTTGTATTACAGCCAAATTTACACACACAAAAAATACCCTCATGTTTCATCACCAAGCACCACTTTCACCATTACTGAATGCAATTCTCTCACTGCCTCATCACTCCAGGTTTTATCTCTCTATTTCCTTACAGTGTTCTTGAAAAAAAATCTTTTCCTAATCAAGCCCATCCTCGTGCCAGAAATCCAGTTTGCAATAAACCACTCCTGAAGTCCTCCCATGTCTGCTCAGGGTACTGATATCTCCACTACTGGCAGAGTAAATTCTCTTCCTGCCTCATGCCTGCACAGGACAGGCAGTCCAGGACCCCATCCCTCTCTGTTTCCTGGGCAATGATATCAAATATCAGCAATCACAGCAGGGTCTGCAGGCTGACTAAAGCCTCACCCCTCAGAGGTCACCAGAGCTGTGCAGCCTGGCAAATCCAAAAATGTATAAGCAAGGCATGCTCTCCCCAGACAGAGTGGTAGGTGCTGCAAAATGAGAGCAAGACCTCGGTGCTGTCACAGAATTGCTTTTGTTCACGCTCTGCATCAGAGCAACTTGCAGAGAAAAGCATGTGAAATAAGAGAGCACATACTGTCCCACCTGCTGTGTGGGCATCAAAGCCAAACAGACAGTGGGGGCTGTGTGGAGGAGGGTAGGCAGAGGCTGGACAGTCCCTGCCCTCCCCTCTGGTTCATACAGGTCCCTTGTTCTAGTGCAGAATTTTTTTATACAGGTGCATATGATGAGCAAGAGAGCAAGACTGGAGCTCGGGAGATGAGGAAATGAGCATGTTGTGCTTTGCTAGTGCACTCTTCTTGCTCCTTGCTCCTTGCTAAGAGCCAGGACACCAAAATAAGGTGGTGCTTGAACACCATTAACTACTCAACAGCACAATGTGCAGGGCCCATGAGAGCAAGCTGAGCTCCACAGGGCCCTGGCTTTGGGTGGGAGGAGAGTTTGCCCCCCAGGTCTACATATTCTTTGTGTCCAGCATTCTAAAAGCTAAAGCATCCACTTGTGCAGAGCAGGAGAAAGCATTCAGTCAGTCTGGTTACAAGGAGCAGGAGGCACTTGCAGCTCTGCTAAAATTACAGCTCCTTCTTGTCTCCTTCACTGTTCACCAAGTTGCACCACATTTCTCTTCTGTTATCCCCTTCTGTGTTTTCCTCCACCACCTCCCAAGGAATACGTGTCCTCTTTCCTTCTTTTTTGCTCAAGTGCTTTCTGTTTCTGCCCTTTCCCTCTCTGTTACATTTCTTTGAACCAGCCTGGATGTTTCACTTCTAACAGGAATATTCTGTGCTCCTCAAGCATACAAGCAGCTGATAGGGGAGACCAGAGAGGCTCCAGGCAGAAAGCCTGAGACTTGGGTGGGACCATTTTTTCTGAGGGACTTAGGAGAAGAAGAGGAAGGATAAACCTTGGCTTGGCTCAAAAGATCTGTCCTGATTTGGGACAGACTTTTAAAACCAAGGACCAAACCCTTCAGAAGGAGTAGGTTTATGTACATTGCGATGGAGAGGCAGAGATGCTAGCAGTTATGAAAACACATTATTTACAGGACACTGCCTGGCATTTTCCAGCTAATAAGAGGAATTAGTAAGGAAAGCTGCTGTGCTTGCACTGCCAGATAAAAAAAGCGCTGCTAAGCAGCCTCCAGCCACAAAATCAGGCTGACTGGATGTATAAACCCCACACTCCACAGGTGGCCCAGCCAAGCTCCTAGGAGTGAGAAGCTGCTCCAGAAAGCAGAAATCCCAGATGCTGGGAAATTGCTGTGAACATGAAATTTTCCCCTCTTCACATTCCTATCTCTTAGCACATTCTCTTTCTGCCTGCTAAGCCCTGTGGGCAGAGGGGACGGGCACAGCATCAGCAGATGGGGACCTGGTGATGGGCTGTCCCCACCAGCTCGGTGTGGTGGGGCCAGAGGACAGGACAAGCTTGTGCAATGCACCTCAGCTCCCTGAGAGCACCCTGGGAGCCGCCTGGGGCTTTGTGACCACTTGATATTTTTGTACTTGGAAAGTTTTGTCATGGTTTCTTATCCATTCCCTTAATGGGATTAATTCACAGTTGCATAGAATACCCAGTCTCAACCATCCATATTAATAATTCAGAAGCTTCCCTTTCCTCTTAAAGTAGAAAGCAGCTGCCCTGGATTTCTACAGTGCCCAGTGTTTAGCATATGAATGGATGGCATTAGCTAGCCTGCTGCTCAGTAGTTGTTTGTCCATTTAGACTCCACCTCTGCACCTGTCAGGAATGGACTTCAGGCTTTCCAGGAGCAGTGAGTATTTCCTTCTCCTTTCTCATGCCTCAGCCTCACCAAATTTTTCTGGACAGCTCATTTAACCCTTTCTCTTCCCATGGCTGAGGGAGAAGCAGCTGCTACACTGTTTCCTCCAAACTTCTCTTAAAATTATTCCTCCTGGAGCTTTTTCTATTTTATCTGGAAGAGGGATGTGACATTTTAGTGTAGCCTAATGAAAATGTGCACATAGTACTAAAAGAAAAGCCAGGTTTGGCTTGTTGCTTTGAGGTTAGAGACCAACAGTCTTCACATAGCAACACACACTCTATATTTGGCCAAGCTTCCATTGACCTCTGTGCCATTTTGGACAAATGGCATAAATTTTTCTGCAGAGACTTAAGGTCCTGACACATTCAAGATTGTTGCAAAGTAAAATGTAGTGACTTGTACAGCTGCTCAGGTCAAAGATCCATTTTGACCTCTGATTTATTTTTCTGTCTTAGAAAGTAAGGTTCCATAGAGTTGCAGAGAATTTTATTTTGTTTACTGACCAATTCAATAGGAAAAAAAATATTGTGGATTAGCAAATCCTATGCTTTCACACCCCAGGAAAATGTGCTCATTATACCAAAGAACTTCTGACCTTGCAAGGCTTTTAGGTGAGGCATTTAAACAAAACAAATCACCACACCTTTCTCATAGTAATGCCCATGTGCTGGCTGCCATCAGGACATTGCTGGGCACCCCTTATTCAGTCCTCAGGGACTCCAGCATTCCTAGCACACGTGCAGCAGCTGGAAATGCTCACTCACTGCTCTGCTTCCTGAACATCTTTGATCAGTTTCAGGCCATCACATCCCAGAGGAGTTTATCATGATGGACTTTCACAGCAGTCACTTTGTGCTGGTGAAACAGGAAAAATACTAATAAATTCTGGGCTTGCTTTGTGGCAATACAATAGGCTTTTATGCCCAAGGCTCAGGCTCAGAGAAGGACATGAAAACCAAGGCTGAACAGCAGGAGCTGACAGAAGTTTCTGAGTAACTGAAAACTTTTGAACAGCATAAAAATCAGACGTTTTGCCTATGGGAATACAGAAGAGCTTGCAGCCAGGAAAGCTGGCGCACACATGATGGGCATAGCCCATGGCAACATCAGGCTCCTGGGGCAATCCAGGCATAAACAGAGAGGGCACATAATCCCAAAGAGGTGGATGAGCAGCCCTCCAAAGGCCATGTCCAACCTGCTTGGAACCATCAGGGTGCCTGGGTAGCTGACCCTTATCCTGGTCTCTGGAGAGGTTTCAAGCTGCTGAACATTGAGGGAAATTTTTCCCATTGCCCATGGAGACACTGACATTTTCATTCCATGCCTCACGTAGCTCAGGCTTGCAAGGTGGTGGAAAGGACAGGCGTTCATTCCTTGGAAATGTCTGAAATCTCCCACAGAGGGCACAAACCAGAGGGTACAGCAGCTCCCTCCTGCTGCAGCTTCTGGCTCAGGAGACAGAGGGGAGGTGAATGAGCCATGTGGGACAGGTCTCTGGCAGGAAGCCGGCTCCACAGTGCTCACTCTGCCTCATCCATAGCATGCCTTGCAGGGAAGATTTGCCTGGATCCACCATCACTCCCAGATGGCAAGCAGCAGGCAAAGCAGCCTCTGGCATGACACTGTCTCCTGGCTGCTCCCCCCATCCAGGTCAGCCCTGTGCCAGGGAGGTTCCTGCTCGGTGCTGCTGTGCCTGGAAAATGAGTTTTTCTGAGAGTGACACTGTGGTGTGCTCCCACACACAGCTGCACAGTGAGCTATTTAACTGCACAGACATTATTGAGGCACAGACTGCAATGCCTGTTTTCTTTCTGAAGTGAAAAAAGGAGCATTACATCATGCCTATACTCAGAAACATTCCTTCTTTAAGGACAACAGCACAAAGTTTATCTCAAAATGCACGATTAAAATGTGTGATTAAAATGCAAGGATGGTCACAGGTGGGAAAGGGGGAGGCTGAATTCTTCCACCCTGGCTTGTGACCTTGTCCTCATTATTCCTCTACTTCCCACCTGTGGGAGACAACTGTTTGGAGTTAGGATGGGGTGTGCAAGGAAATTTTTGTGGTTCCACCTATAGAAAAGCAGTGAGGCAGCCAGGATATCCTGGGGTCTGAGGAGAGCAAAGGACTGTGAGGGTCCTGGAAGTGCACACTCAGTCTTGGCATGGTAGGGTGAGAGGGAACTTCAGGGCATGCTCACGTGGTTGGGCTTGACCCATGGCCAACCCTGTAAACCCATCCCTGGAGGGACCTCAGCACAGGCAGATGGTGAGAATTTAACCTCTCTGCAACCATTCTGCAAGTGCTCAGCACTTTGCTGCTTTCTACACGTCAACTGGAATGTGCACAGCAAAAAAAAAAAAAGAGCTGTAACAGAGCTGAGTCAGATCATTGGCACCATTTCTCCTGTGCTGTGTAAAAGACCCCAAATTTTAATTCCTCTGCCTCTGCTGTTGAAGCTGACGGGATGCATTTAATTCCAGGTGAGGAGCTGGAGACAGTGCTGCACACGTGGATGAACCCTTACAGGAGCCTGACAGAAGAGATCCCCTCACAACAAAAAGGCAGATTTCATCTTTTGTCACGTACTGCTGCAAATATGTCATTTTGTTGCTGTCTCTCCTCCGTCTCAAATAAATATTGCACCTAGAAGAAAATTCAGAGAAACAGATTATTTCCAGTCCTGTAAGAGAGGCAGATTCACTTCAGGATTTCTCTCTCTGCAATGACAAAGACTCACATTGTGCTTTCAAGGACTTTTTTTAATGCATTTCTGGGTTTTTCCACTTATGGGACAAAAGATTAATTGTATCAATAAAAAGACAATGTGCTCTGTGAGTCAGTTCTGCTATACTGAGGTTACAACTCCTGTATAGAGGTCAGCTCTCTGAGGTCCCAGTAACTCCTACAAAACATTCCACACGCTCAGAAGAGAGAAGAACCTCTGAGTTTCCTTGTGAAGACTGTGGAAATAAGTATTTTCCATATGTCCTTGGACAAGAATTGATGTCCAGGTTATAAATTTTGAATATAGGCAACTTGAATGGGCTGCAGTGCTGGTGCTCTCCCTTAGTTTGCTTAATGATATCAGATACTCTTTGGTGATTACACTTAGAAACTGGTGTTAAATATTCTTTAATAAGAAAACTTTTTTTTATTTTATTTTTATGCATTGTTACCTATGCCACCATAATCTATTGATAAAATACCAAGAATATAAGTATCCTATATTGGCCCAACATGTTCACACTTTATTTATTAATTACAATGATGTAAGAGATGATTTATTTGAAAAATTAGAGAAAAGCCTGAAAATTAAAACAGCAGAAGCAAAACCCCCACTAAAGGAAACTTGAAACACTACCATGTTCCTGGAGCTATTCCTGGAAAGGTTGTCATGTTTGTGTGAAATCCTGGGGAGGGAATGTATGCAAGCATTCTGCTCATCATGAACCCCAAACACCCACAACACTGCTAGATTCAATGTAATAACATGTTCTGAAAGAAGAAACACTGCAAAGCAAACTGAACAACCCTTCAATGCTTTTTTGACACCCAGAAGGGAAAGGTGCCCAGGGAATGTTGTTCTTCCACCCAACACACCAGACCCACAACAATCATCCACAAGGCTCCAAGAAAAGCGTACAGCCAGGATGCCAACAACAGCAAAACCTGACCAGGGAAGAGAGAGTCAGTGTCTGAGGAACAAGGGGTTCTCTGTGGGATGGTTGCTCCCATTAAAGCTGTATCTGTGGTCTCTAGGACCATAGATAGAGGCTCTGCCCTGGAAAATATTTATTTCTTCTTAGAAGCAGCGTTAGTGAGCATCCATGTCTGCTGAGAATGTACTTGGGGGTTTGTGTAACAGGAAAATCAGAACATGAAATAGAATTCCTAGTTTGCTGCCTTTCTTACTGCATGCAGACTAGAGACTCATTCCAATGGGATTGCCTGAATTGCATTAATTAGTAATTAGCAAAGGAATAATAACAACGATGCAACAATAAGTGTGCTTTATTCATATGCTCTTAACATATGTGGTTTTATATCCCAGAGGGTGTCTGGGCACTGGAACAGGCTCCCCAGGGCAGTGTCACAGCACCAAGGCTGACAGAGCTCAAGAAACATTTGGACAACACTGTCAAGCACGTGGTGTGACCCTTGGGGTGTTCTGTGCAGGGCCAGGAGCTGGACTTGATTATCCTGATGGGATCCTTCCAACTCTGCATATTCTGTGATTCTGGGGTTCCTTAATATCTCCCTCCTGTCACTGATCTTGCAAGAGTGCTGAAAGCTTGAAGACAAAGGACATTCCACCTCACATCACATAAATATGATTTACCCTATGAACATACATAGTGGCACCCTAACAACACAATCAGAGTGCAAGGTAAACCTTGAACCCAGGAAGGGACAAAACTCATTACCTAAATCATGGTGTAAACCCAGACTGGACCATCCAGTTCTCCATCAGGTATGCTCAGAGTGCTTTCCAGATTGCTGGAAGACTATATTCTTCTTAGGGCTAGCTCAAGGCTCCTTGGCTGTTTTGCTGCCTCAAGGGTGAGGACAGAAATAACAAATGCAGACACAAAGCAGAATCACAGTGAGAGCCCTCCAGAGCTTCCTGGCTAAACCAAGCCAGACTGATTTTGAAAAACACTCTTTCTTCTTTATTATCTGCTTGATTGGAGGGTCATAGGCAAAATTAGAGCTTTTTAGAAATATTGTGACACATTATATTATTGTTTTTCTTCTAGAATCTGAAGTGACTGGCCTGTCTTTATTGGAACAGATGCTCTACAGCATAAAAATCTAGAATTAATTAATTGTCTCCCTGCAATTAATCAATATGTCCATTCCTATAGGCAGGTTGGAGAATTGTGGATTACAGACCTGGGCAGCCTTCCACATTCAGCTCACTGAGGGTATGAAAAACACAAGGAAATAAATAATCTGGTACATAACAAACATCTAACAGGGACTGGCATGGAGTCTATTCTATCAGCTCCTGCATGTGAACTCTGAAGAATGAAGGCCCAGAATACTTGCCATGTTGATTTTATTAATGATCATGAAACAAATCAATGGAGATTCTGACACAGGAAATTTGTGCTGCTCTGGAGGCAGCTAAATTATTCCATTTACAATTTCTGCTTAAGATTTGCAGTCTCTAAGAGATCTCAAAGAAAGCCCTGCTGGAGCTAGAACCAGAAACCAGTTGAGTATCACATGACTTTTGGGTGTGATAGAAATCTTCCTCACTGCTGGGTAGAAGAGAGTTACTGAGTTTAAATATTTCAAGCATAAGAAGGAAGAAATTCAGACATATTTGTCTTTGCTTCGTGAGAGGGAGAGAAAGAAAGGGGGAAAAAAAGGATGAAAACTATCAGAACTGTTGTCAAATTGCACTAAAAGGGTTTGTTACCGTTGTTAGCAGAGTCTGACTCTGTGTAAAGAGAATGCTTTAAATGTGTGAATATATTCAGCACATCTGCATATGAGCCCCAGTTGTTTATGGTGGCTGCCCCCTGAGGACAGACACTCGCTGGAGCCAGAGCTGCATGAAGCTGCAAAACCTTCTTCCCAGAGGGAACACATCTCCTTGTCTCCAGCAGAGACGTTCTGCAGAGATGCTCTGCCAGCTCAGAGGCAAAGGCAGACACATTAATGATGTATTAGTGCACCAAAGACTGTTCTAGGATTCAAAGCTGCACTCCAGTGATGTAGTTTAACCACAGGAGGCTTGTGCTGAGTATTGAGGTTACGCAAGGATTTTTCTTTCAGAAGTAATCTCACTCTGTTTATTTTGCTTGGTTTCAGTGTTTCTTTGGATAACTTAGGAAATGGTGAGTTTGTAAATTTTTTTTTTCTCAGTTTTGTGTTTGATCTGAAAATTTATAAGAAATTTGTTTCAGGTCAGATCAAGATATTTACATTTACCTGAAAAATGTACAGGAAATTTAGAGGAAAATTTACAGGAAAACTATAGAAAACATATATTCTGGAAGAGGTAAAAAGTCATATTTGACCTAAAACTCAAATGCTTTGGATACAGTTTTCTGTTGGATATAGTTTTATGTTATACAATTGGGCCTTATATTTTAAACAAAATTTGTGTTAGGTTTAAATGGAAAGAAATATGTTTTGTGGAAATTTTAAAAAGTAATGTAAAGCATTGAAAAAATCCTTTTGTTTCAAAAATAAATAATAAATTAAAACCATTTCTTCAAAAACCATGGGGTTTCTTTCAGTAAATTAATTGTCATGTTTTGGGTGGTTTCTTTCCCTCTGCTCAGGTTGTTGCTAATTAACATCAGTTAGAAACATCTGGTATCACAAAGAGGAAGAGTTCATAAAAATTGCTGTGATCACTGTTATAAGCACTCGGCACAAGTCACCAATAATTGTAATGATCTCAAGAAAATCCACAATTTAGTCCTGCCTTACAGATGGAAAACCTGGGGCACAGTTCCTGAAATCACCTTGCTGTGGTCATGCAGGACATCTAAAATTAATCAATTAGCACAGGCCAGGAGGAGTGGAGCTGTGGGGAGAAAAATGTGAAGAGGTCCACAATAGACAGTCCTTGTATATTTTTTTCTAGTCTGGGCCCATAAAGCTGGACCCACATTCACAAGCAGAGTGCATGCTCTGAAAAGGCCACATGATCCAAAATTACCCCTCAGTGGGAACCAAAAGTAGAGTGAGGAGAAATGGAGAGGAAATTAATTTCAAAACACACTTCAGTTCTGCTTGAAGATGCTAATGCAGATACTGCACTTTGTGTCCTAAGAGAGCCCAGGTCTCTGAAATGCTAATTCCGGGCCCACTTATATAATTTTCTCACTTCTAACTTGCAAGAGGTCTATTGTGAAATGGTTTGAGTGTTTCAGTAGTACTAGCCAAAAAAATGTAAGTTTCAGGAGTAGTCACAGTCTCAGTCAGTCAACAGTTACTGCTCATTGCCAGAAGAGGTAGCCTGTCCCAATTCTGCTTTTCAAACACAGTTTTCTTGGTGACATCACCATCATCATAATTATTTTTAATGGTTTTGAAAGCACATACCAAGATAATAATAATAGTTTAAATATTAAATATAATAATAATAGTTTAAAAACTGTTCTGATGCAAAACCAAATAACCATGAGTGAACCAAGAATGAGTTCAGACTGGAAATCATAAAACTGATTCTGATTATTAAAAAAAATGAAACTGAAATAGCCTACATAGAACTGGAACTGGAACCTCCCACTGTTTTAAAATGAGGATGATATATTAATGGAGTTGTATAAAGAAGGGACTAAGGCACAGGATTGCTGTATCCATCCTGAAGCTTCCAAATTCTCAGTATCTGCAGATCAGGGAGTAGATCGGATCTCACTTGTTAATAGTGCTTGTTCACACCCTATTTATTCTACACTTACACATGCCTCAAATCTCTCAGACTACCAGCACAGGGGTGTGGGAGCTTCTTTTGCTTTTTTCTTCCTCTTTATACACACACAGTGTGGGTTCTGAAGGGCTGGTCTTTTTCCAACTTCTGAAACACAAGAGCTTGTCCACAGGAGACAATGCAGTGTGTGCTCAGTGATATTAAACTCTTCCAGGTGGCCATCTGTCAGTTTTCCCCCATTAGTTCAGGGTTAAACTCATCACCTAGTCTGGACTCAAATCTGGTTTTTCTACCAATCACTTTGCAACAATCACTGTTTCCTGGCTGTCTGTTTTTAGTTTCTTTGCTTTCCATATTTTTCTGTTGCTTGGTATGGGCCCCTTTTCAGGGCAGTCAGGGATTTTTCTCCAGCTAAAGCCTCACCTTTATAAGTCCTGGGACTCTGGAAATGCCCTCAGGTGTCCTGTGACATACTGTATGTGGAGGTTTTGGTCTTTCACCACATATCTTCAGTTTATTTTGTA